TTTTTTTTCCAGAATGTCCTGAAAAACATATAAGTTGGAATTTGGAATGAACTTGCTACTTTGTAATATGATGGATTCATTTAATTTTGATGTAGGGTTTCTAATGTGTATATCCATGTTTGTTAGCTATTATATAATTTTACATGCGTAAATATGTCATAATTGGTGAGTTATTTGATATATCTCCATTTTTGGATAATGGCCGCCCCCCTTCAATAAGGGGAGCGCCTCTCCTCACGTCTCACGCCACTGCAAATAGGACGCTTGTCGCCTTGGCTCACGGCGCACCTTTTTAATCACTGAAGTAAGTTACCTTTATTGCTTGCAGCAATGTAACTGTGAAATTCCGAAATTATCTTCCTCATGACAAGCAACTTCAAGAGGGTAAAGTTGCACCGCCTGTGTTACCTAAATTTGAAGACCCTGCTATGGCAGCTCTTCCTCCAGAGGAGAAGAAAAAAGAGGTACTTCATGAAGTTTTATTGCATGTCCATTTTTTACTCACTGTTTCTCGCTCTCGTTTTATGCACTATCCAGTTATGTTTTGCTTATGTGTTGCTAAATATTTTGGGCACAAATTGTAGGATCCATTTTTAAATATAGCACCAAAGAAACCAAACTGGGACCTGAGAAGGGATGTGCAAAAGAAGCTCGACAAGCTTGAAAGACGCACTCAAAAGGCGATGTTACTACTCGTAGGTATGCAATCTTTCTTTGTCCTTCTATATTAGCTACCCCCTACACCGGGGCACTGGTATCAGTACTTGTCGTATGTGATCTCCTTTCCTGTGCTTGTCAATGGTTTTGAATTGTCATTATAAGTGTGTGCGCCTGTGAAGCTTTAAAACACTTTGAAGGCTATAGAGACAGCCAAGCAATGAACAAAAAATGGATAAGACCCCTATACTAGAGATAAATTAATTAACAAATCGAAGTCTTTCTTCACCTAGTCTAGAGGAGCAGGTCTTTTGTAAACTAAAAGGAAAAGCTCTATTATGTGTTGGTCTTTTACTTTTCATCTGTGTAACACACTGTTATTCGTAGATATATTTTTCTAACTATTATCGCGGTCTCAAAGAGAGAAAGTTGGTTTTGAAATATGGTTCGCCTTTCATCTCTCATCCTTTTGTATCTCAACATTGGGAAAGAGAAACTAAAAACTTTTGTCTAAATCCTCCTCCTTCTTCTTCTTCTTCATTTTTTTATTTTTTTAAAATAATTTTTGAGGACTAACAACACATCCTTGCTACTCTGGTGCAATTTTGCCCGCCTGTAAATTCCTCTGAAATGTGCACCTTTATGGTGTATATCTTGGATCAAATTCCATGATCTTTCCAATTTTTAGTAGTAATTTTGAGTAGTAATTTTGCATTTGGCTAAATCTAGACTTATTTTTACATATTCTTTTATGAGTAATGCTACAAGTACATAATAGTGTACATAAGGGTGTACATAAAACTCACATTGAGTGGGACCCACTAAAAATACAAAATCAAGTGGACCCTACTCCATGTGAGTGTTATGTACACCTTTATGTACATTTATTATGTACATGTAGTTATCAAAATTTTTTATTTCTATTAAGATCAAGTAATCATGATGTAGACCAATGTCAAAAGTTTATTTTGTTATATTCGCATGCTTATGCTTGTTATTGGCTTATGACGTGCAGAGCAGGAAGCCAACAGAAGATCTAGAGAAGATGGAGAAAATGATGAAGACTGAAACTAATCTCAAGGAAGCATTACTCAAAGCTACAAATGTACTTGTGTAGCGAACATGTCCTTGCGCTTGTTATTCTTCATTCAGTTGAATGTGAGAGATGTGCGATTGCTTTCTCGGTTTGAACTTGCAAAGGCACGATTTGCATAGCTCATAGTAATTAATTACAGATCATGTTATTAACTTGAACTGCAGGCGGGAATGCATTCATTCATGCACCACATTTCTCTTGCATTCTCACAGTCGAATTAGTGTAATCACAATTTCTCAACTATGAGATCCATTTCATGTAACCTTTCATGGGTTACTACAGAAATATGCCGTCGTTTGCTTGCATGGAATAGGAAATGAAATTTCGAAAACGCTGTGCTCCATTTTTCTGTTAGCCTGCATGTGTGTGTGTGGATTCCAGGTATTTCTGAATGTAATTCTGAATATTGTACTGCATGTTTTAAATCTTTATGTGGATACATGGAGCATGAAATGCCCAGGCATTAACTCAAATTAAATAACTTTCTTAAAAGGTTTATGGAAGGTTTTCTTCTCTTCTTATTCTTTTTCTAAAAAACTTAAATTACTCTTTGAAAAGCCTCAAAGCTGAACAAAACCTTTGAATCTTAAGGCTACAAGAACTGAATCTAAGCTCTAAAAATACACATAACATCGTATTAAACCCGCGAAAAAGCCACAGCGAAAACACAACGAAAGTCATGCCAAACTACGCATACATACTATTTTTTCTTATTCTTTTTTAAAAAAAATGTAATTAACTCTTTATGAAGCCTCAAAGATGAACTTAAAACCTTTTAATCTAAGGCACAGCACAGCATAAAAATACGCATGATATGGCTCAACAATTAAGGCAACAACTAGGCACCAGAACACCACAAACATGCCTCAATTTCTCTTCTCTTTTCTTAAGCTTAAACCACAAGTATAAAGGCCTTAAAACCCGATTTAAAGGCTCTAAAAGATCAACATTTTCAGCATAAAAACTCAACAATAACCAGGCAAACTCACGGCCAAACCGCACAACTAACAAGCACCTCAATTTCTCTTAAATTTCAACTCCTAAGCATGCCTTTGTATCCTTTTTTAAATCTGAACATAAGCTCTTAAAACATAACTAAAATCGGCCAAAAACATGGTAAAAGGCGCAACCATTTACCTCCTTCAGGTAACAAATAAAAGAAATGGAAGAAACAAGGGACTCGGTGAGGCTAAAAGCGTTCGGCTTACTGCTGCGATTTCTCCTCGGTTCTTGGGGCTACTGAGGTGCCTTGGTGCAAGAAATGGCTCGCTTCTCTCAAACACTGGAGTGTCGTGCTGCTCACACTCTTCGATTTGGCGCGACTTCTCGGGTGGCTCTCGGTTCTTGCCGGAAATTTGGATGCGGTTGTTGGATATTTTGGTATAAAAATACACGGGAATCCTACGAACTGATATGTATTTTCAGTTCTTACAAATAATCTAAAAATAGAAAATTACAATTGAACTGAATAATAAATTACAACTGAAAAAAAAAAACGGAAAGATTTTAGCCGAGGCGAGTAAAACTCTTTCCGCAAGAAGAATACGCCCCGTGTGTCAGCTAACGGTTCAGGCGTAACTTCCCCAAAGATACAACGGCAAACGTCTCTGAATCTGTAGCACACCAGATTTACGAGCTCCGGCGAACTTTAACGGAGTTGAGAATTGAGCACTAAAAATAAAAAGATATATCATAAAACAAATAAAAATATCACTTGTTTCTCCTCTTTTGATATTTTTATGTCCGATATTTGGACATATATCTATCTTTCTTTCATTTCCCTTTTCCTTTCTCCTCTCTTTATTTTACTAATTGGTGCAATTTTTCTTCTGGCCGAATGGCCTTTTTATAGTTGAATGAAAGGAATCATTCCACCCAATTGCAATACAAGTTGCAATATTTTTTTTTTTTAAAACAAATGGACAATTGGGCAAATTGGGGGTGGTGCAATTGGGGCGGCACCGTCCCCATTATTATATATAATTTTTCTGACAATCCCCGACAAAAGAGAAAGTAAAGAAATACACATATATACAGACTCTTGTGCTCAATCCTCACAAAATTCTATTGCATCAGAAAAGGTAGCTTTTGGCTTTGAACCATTCTTAGTAAACATCATCGGATGTACTGGCGGCCTAGTGGACATAATGTCTTGAACTATTCCTCCATAGTGTACACCGAGACAATGACATTCACACAATAGAGTCTTAACTCCATTCCGTTCTATCGTTGTGTCCGTTTTGGCCATGGACAACACAATGGATTCATAAGTGTTTACATTTGAAGCGGCTCACACTTCACACTTATATAGGTGACCTCCCTATCAAGAGTATCATGCCATACTCCACCTTTACAAGGTTAGGGATTCATTAAAAGTCCATATGACTTACCTTCACCACAATCAACAGGTTATCTTGCACTTCGAGTGCTCTAGGGAATAGCTTTGGACATTCATATGTTCCAAGTGCTCAACTGAATTTTCATAGCTTAGTTTTCCCTTTGAACCAAGTTCGTGGGATCTCCAC